AGATGGCGGTAATATCAATTTCTAAAATTAAGACATTTCATCTAAGAATTTTCGTACTTAATTCTTAGTTAAATAAGCACAATGCTATAGTTAGTTTGTTGCCTTTTAACACCCAAGAAATATAGTTCAAATGTTATTTCAGTTTTTTAAAATGCCACCAAAGTGGTACCACCGGCATGCAACAGATAATTTTTGTATGCCACCAGACAGCATAGTGTTAATATTATCTGGTTGTACTTTTCTTTACATACTACAGCAAATTCTCCCTAATTGACCCTCGGCTTGCACACAAAAATGGACTATTTGGGAAGAGGAGATACTTTTTGTAGTTACCGATTGTCAATAATATATAGGATTATATTCTGTAATATAGGAAATTAAGTTTATTGTATCGTTATTTTAATGGAAATTTAGGTTTTGAATTTTATCGATAAACTATAAAATCCAAAAATATAAAATTTATTGGGACTCAATGTTCAAATAAAACCATATAGTCGAATTCACGAAATTTATTGTATCGGTATTTTAATGGAAATTTAGATTTTGAATTTTATCGATGAACTATAAAATCCAAAAATAGAAAATTTATTGGGACTCAATGTTCAAATAAAACCATATAGTCGAATAAACGAAGTTTATTGTATCGGTATTTTAATGGAAATTTAGATTTTGAATTTTATCGATGAACTATAAAATCCAAAAATAGAAAATTTATTGGGACTCAATGTTCAAATAAAACCATATAGTCGAATAAACGAAGTTTATTGTATCGGTATTTTAATGGAAATTTAGATTTTGAATTTTATCGATGAACTATAAAATCCAAAAATAGAAAATTTATTGGGACTCAATGTTCAAATAAAACCATATAGTCGAATAAACGAAGTTTATTGTATCGGTATTTTAATGGAAATTTAGATTTTGAATTTTATCGATGAACTATAAAATCCAAAAATAGAAAATTTATTGGGACTCAATGTTCAAATAAAACCATATAGTCGAATAAACGTCCCTCCCTCGATCTTCAAATAATAATTCATCCTCTTCGCAAATTGCCAATTTTTGTGTACAAACCGAGGGTCGATTAGGCAGAATTGACTGTAATTACATTTGCTACATTTGCCTCTGTATTCGCAGTCGTTGCTCGAACATAAAGGAACGGCAGACGGCATCGAGGGTGAAACGGCGAAGCAGGTCCCGACCTCTGGGACCGAGGAAACTCGGACGCGGTGCAGCGAGGGTTAAAAAGGATGCAGAAACGACTGTGGAACCGTCGTTAGACTGAGAGACGCGCACGCGGGAGAAGCGAATTCTGCGATAATCTACGGGATTCCCGAGCGATGCAGGTCTGTAAGTGCACGAAGCGACCCGGACGACGCACTCGGTGCATGGAGGGCACGTGTGCCGACAGGGGGTCCTCGTCTCGAGTTTTCCATCGAGCAACAAGTGTTTCGACATGTGTACCGGACCCGTGCGTCCTTTCTCGCCGGTCACAGCGGGTACGGTCGCGGCCACTTCGGAGGCGGTAAATCATTCTCTACAAGCCCGCGCGACGATCGTCCTTGCGGCGAAGCGAAACGGGGGGCACGAAAATCGGTGGACCCTCGAGGGCCGCCCCGGGGCCCGGGCTCGAACGAGTCGAATTTCGCCGTGCAGGGTGTAGCCGTGAACGTCCGATCGGGTTTTCCAGCGGCCGTCTTTCCTCTCCCGTCGTTCTTTACCCGGAACGATTACCGAATCGCGACGAGATGAGACGAGGCGCGACGAAGCGCGTCGAGGCGCGACGAGGCGACACGAGACGAGAAGCGACGCAACGAACAGCTTATCGAATTCCTGACGCCCCTCTCGACCCCCCTCGCGATAATCGCGCAAGGTGTGCGTAAGGCTAGAACTCGTCGCGCGTTCGTGATTAGAGCACCGATATTTGTAAACCGTTTGATAACGGCCGGTTGTTTGGTCAATCGTTTATCGCGCTTTTCGTGTCGCCAAGCGGACAAAAGTGGCCCTTAACGTCATCCTTTGACTTGCTCTCGAAACGAATTTCACGCGCTCCTTTCTCTTTCTCGCCTCTTTCTTTATTTCTTTTCACCGGCATTCAAGTTTTACACGGCCGACACGTGTAGATATAATTTGTTATCTTCATTTGTTCACGCATCCGAAGGAATTTGTAAAATTGGTACGCATTTTGGTTGCTTGACTTTTTCCTATACCGCATCATTGCAAGCGGGGAAAATTTAGGCGAATGAGTCTAAAATGCATTCGATTTTTACAAATTTCTTCAGATGCATTAACAAATTAAGATAACGAATTATATTTGCACGCGTCTCGTACACGACCGTGGACAAAGCGGATTCGGTCGTATAAGTTGCAATGACAAAAAATACGTACAAATAATATAAACAAATCATAAAATAGTGTAGAATAGAGGAATAAAATCGACGTCCATCATAAATAAATAATAATTTTCAAAAGTTTGATCTTCTTGAAACATACTGTTAAACAATAAAGGTAAAAACTAGTAATAAAAATTTAAACAGAATTTATTTTTATAACTTTTCAACTTAAATTTATCAGACGTTCGAATACTTAGTTATTGGCATTCAACAATCATAGTTCCTCTTGGTGCCCACAAAGGCATCGACGCTCCTCGGCAGTTATTTCGTATGCGTTGAGTTTTTCATTTCAGTTGTTTGGATCAAAGCAGTCTGTCGCAGTTATATAAACGGATTTAAAGGATACTAAATAGCATGTGTACATACTTAGAATAAAATATATATGGGTTGGCAACTAAGTAATTGCCGATTTCAGTTATAGATGTCTCTCACTCCCATTTTTATGATATCCGTAAATGTTATATTATAAAATATAATATAATATATATTATTATATAATATTATAATAATAATATTATATTATAAAATATAATATAATATATTATTATATAATATTATAATTATAATAATAATATTATTATTAATATAAATATAATATTATTAATATAATATAATATATTATTATTGTTATTTTTGATTATCCATGAATGTTAGCACCTGGACAAATTGAATGCAGCGGTCAAGGAAAAGCGACCAGAATGCTATAGTTAGCTTGCTGACTTTTTTAACACCCAAGAAATATAGTTCAAATGTTATTTCAGTTTTCTAAAATGGCACCAAAGTGGTACCACCGGCATACAACAGATAGTTTTTGCATGGCACCAGCGTGGTGCCACCGGACGGCATAGTGTTAATATTGAAACCAATAAAAGGATTAGCTTCAGTCTCAACGAGGAGGTTTTGATAATATATTGGGTTGGCAACTAAGTAATTGCCGATTTCAGTTATAGATGTCTCTCACTCCCATTTTTATGATATCCGTAAATGTTATATTATAATATTATTATTATTATTATTATTATGTTATTTTCTATTATCCGTGAATGTTAGCTACTGGACAAATTGAATGCAGCGGTCAAGGAAAAGCGAGCAGAATTGGTCAATCGTAAAGGTGTCATTTTCCAGCAGGACATTGCTAGGCCGCACACGTCTCTGTCCACTCGGCAAAAATTGATGGATATTGGTTGGGAATTGATGTTACACCCACCATATAGCCCCGATCTCGCGCCATCGGATTACCACTTATTTCGATCCCTGGACAACTCCCTTCGTGGTAAAACTTTTAACGATGATGACGCTGTAAAATCTCACTTAACTCAGTTTTTGGCCGAAAAAGATCAGACTTTCTACGAGCGTGGAATTTTCAAGTTGTCGGGGAGATGGCAAAAGGTCATCGAATAAAATGGAAAATACAATACAGATTAAACTTCGTTCCAAGTAAAAAAAATTGTTTATTTCATTGAACAAATCGGCAATTACTTAGTTGCCAACCCAATATATCATTACTTAACTGGATACGCGGTATTGCTCTTTTGCTTTTTCTCCATCATATGTGACATGAAAATGCCATGTTTTTTTTTAAATATTTTTTAATATACTCGTAAAGGAGTAATTTTCCTTTCATTTATTCGAATAAATGTCGCATAGGCAAAGTTGTACCAGTGATCGAATACTTTCGTATACGTGAGAAAGTTAATCTCGCGAATATCTTTTCTGCTGGAAATAAAACAAGTTAAGAGATCAATGGCCAAGATCGCGTCGCGCTGAAGTGCGCAGCTTCTGTCTTCGGGGGCAATCGAAATAAGTTGGAACACGGTTTCATGTGTTCCGCAAGTGTGCCGGGTTTGGCGTTGAAATCCTCTCGAAAGCTGTCCGAGTGTCTCGAGAGCGCGCGACGTTCTAAATTAGGCGAAAGAATGTTGGAATATGGAAATTAGAAACAAGTACCAATCGCGCGCCACGTAACGTTAATGTATCGTCATAGCGACATCTGTACATTGGTTGTATCGTCTGTCTATAACAGTTGTCATTGCTCACTCTCGTGCCGGCGGATAAAGCGAAAGCATCTTCCTTGATTATTGTAAAAGTATCTTCGTATATAACGGATTGTGATCGAGTGTGAGAGACTGCGTAAGCGATCGAGTGTAAGAGAGAATTATTAGAGCTTATTCGAGTCATAAATAACTTCCGACGCGGCTAGCTAGAATCTACTGTTAACTCTTTGCACTCGGGTGGTGACTCTGAGGCATCACTAAAAATTTGTTATGTCACGTTCTAAGGTAATTTTTCTATCAACAAAGGTTATAGATTTAAATATATATATAATATATAAAATGAGTATAAAATGAGAATACTGTAAGTCAGAAAAATGATTTTAGATTTACAGTTAAGACAGAGCTTCGAGTGCAAAGGGTTAATGTTTACCCACTATAAGTCACGAACGAATTTTTGCTTTCGCCGAGTAGATAAGGGTTCGAAATAAATAAAATAATAAATAAAAACAAAAAAATAAAATAAACGTCTGATAAAAAAGAACGGAAGTTATTTATTGACTCGACCGAAAACTTCGCAAATCAAAGAAAGAAGTGATGCAATAATCGAACTCACGTTCTCGTCTGCGGGGTCCGGTCCCTCTGCCGCCGGTTCTTGAACCAATTCGACACCTGGGTCATCGTCAGGCCGATCTTGTCCGCGAGATTCTTCTTCTCGTTCTTGTTCGGGTACCTGTTGCTCAAGTAGAATTGCTTCAGCGCCTGCCTCGAGCGTTCCTTGAAGCAGTAGACGACCTCCTCGCCGTCCCAGATCGTCTTCGGCAGCGGATACTTCTTCCTCAGCCGGTACTTGTCCACGGCGCCCAGCGGCCGTCCGCGGATCTTCTCTGCCTCGCGATAGTGCGAGTTGAACCACATCTTCTGGAGCTCTTCATGCCGGCGAGGCGAGAAACGATTGCTCTCGAGGATCGAGTAGAGCTCGCGGCAGGCGCCTCGGTGGAAGGCCACCGCCGCCCTCGCCACCAGCACGCTCTCGCCACCCCGTAACACCTCGTCCTCTGGCAGCGACCAGAGAAACCTGATCGAAATCACTCCTATCAATTTTCTGCGATCGCAACTTTCGCTAAATCAGATCCTTTCGCGTCGACGAGGTCCTCGAGGTCCCGGGCCCTCCTTGGCTCGCGACTCCTTTCTTTTTCTGGTAATTCAACCCCGCGTACTTTCGGTTGAGGCACTCGAAACGACAGGGTTAGATTTGTAATAGTTCAATTAAATGTTGCAAGCGATCGCTGGACTGCGAATCTTCGCGCAAAATGCAAATCTTACGAGACAATCGTAGGAAACAGAAATTAAGTAAGAATACATTATTTTACTTAATAATTTTGATAAATTGCTACTAATTCTACATAAATGTTATTAAATTCTTTCTTATATCTCCATCATTTTATATGTCAGCTACTCGTTTTTGCCATAAGTTCATGAAATCCGCAGTCTAGTTGATCCAACGTTACGCAAAAGTATCGTCGAATGACTCGAAAAGTTGATCGTTGACTCCAACGCGCGCGATTTTACGAACATTTCGCGAACAGTGGACGTTATTGTTCTCAAGCTCGACGTTCTACGTAAAATTTGAAGCTGCGTAGATCGAAATGATAAACGGCGAGTGTTTTCTGCGAACAAGTAAATACGTGAACGATTGTAATCCGAAAACGAAACGTGTTCTAATTCGTATCACGATCCGTGTTTATTTACGCTGGGTAATACACAACGGCGATCGAAGATATTCGACTGCTTGGTCGAATGAAAAATAATTTTGGCATAAATCAAAACTAGAGCGTACGCTCGAGCATCGATACGCTAAACGTCATCGCGTTTGATCGAAGAGAAAAACGATCCTGAGTAAGCAGCGACTTCTAAACATCGACGGATGTGCTCGCACTCTTGCACCTATTCCCGACGGTGATGCGATTCAAGGGGAAAACAACGAGTAACAATATGAACTGCCTGCATTGTTTTCAATTTTCTCGGTTCGCGAATCGATGGGAATCGAGATGCGTTTATTTCATCGACGAACGTAAACTGGAACATTGTTTTGGAGCTGTTGTCGAAGCTGCGAACCGGACGATACGATACTTGTTTGCCCAAATATTAGCCTCCAATTAGAAGTAATTTCATCGAAAATGGCTGCAAATATTGCGACAGCGAAGTATTTTTCACCGTAAACCCGCATTCGTGCCATATTAAATCGAAACCGAAAGGCTGTTCGTTTTCGCGATAGAGGTTGCATTTCGAGCATTCGGAAGTCATCGGTGGCACTCGGTTTTCAGAGTTTCCAACATTCGGGGCTATTCTATGCGGAATTGTTCGAATTTATGCCAGAACGTGAACTCTTGCAAATTCCTATTCTCGTAATTGGACTGCGGATCTTCGTGCAAAATAAAGGTTTCCATCGTCGTGAGATTTCAAGAGATAAGAATTCGATAAGAATGTATCTCTCGCGATAATAGTTTCAATTATTTAAAAAATATCACGCTGTATTCTTTTAGTCTTTCATTTTTTAGCGCGGTCTTCTCATTTTGTGTTCCGTGTCACCGTTTTTCTCACAAACGCATAAAATCCGCGGTCTACTCGTGATCCACCGAAGAAATTCGAATCGAGAAGCATCGTGCTGCATAAAAAAATTCAGCAAACTTCAGCATGATTACCGACGCGAAGCTCCGTTTCGCCTTACGATTTGCTTCGCCGATCAAACATCGACGGCGAAAGAACAGATCTGAACAACGAATTCGCTTCGGATCCATCAAATCAGAAAATCCGGCGCGTACAGATTTTCCGCGAAGTCGCGTTGGAAAATCGACGTTCCGTCGACGCGACGTATGCGTGTGCGGATGATGAAATACGCACTCGAACGATCGCGATTTACCTTTGGAAAACGCGACAGGCCCGTCCGCGACGTGTCCGATCGACGCTGGAGCAACGAACTGACCGCGGATTTCTATGGAAAATGAAAACTGTCCGCGTTAACGCTAAACCTTAGAGTTAAAGTCAAAGTGACCGCTTTCTTATTTTGCAGTTCTGCAAAGTTCCGAGACTCTTCCGTGGAAAACGCTTGAATAAGTTATATCATTAGAGCAAGTTTTATAATAAAAACTTTACAAATTCCAAATAAATTCGGTCTCCTCACTTTTGTGAAGCGGTACATGCCAGTTAATGTTACTGCTTGGTAGGTTTAGTGTTAACCGTTTGACTGCTGAGGAGCGCTATCGCGCTCTTCTTATGTTATGCCAAAAATGCGAAGAGCGCGATGGCGCTCCTGTTTTTTTTTACGCCAAGACTGCGGAGAGCGTAATAACGCTGCTCTAAATCACTAGAATTTGTGCTTATTACCAATTTTATTCACAAAATTAATCAAAACAAATTTATGCAAATAAGTGGTATTTTTTCATTTTTATTGTTGCAAAGCAATGCAAGCGAGTTTATTGTATGAAAAGTGTTTTACAGTTTTTTCCCATACACGCGCAATTAGTGGCGCAGTTTTGGCATATGTCCGAAGAAATATAAGTTTTATAATAAAAACTTTACAAATTCCAAATAAATTCGGTGTTCTCACTTTTGTGAAGCAGTAGTACATGCCAGTTAATATTACTGCTTGGCCTACCAATGCGCCACTAATTGCGCGTGTATAGGAAAAAATGTACAAACTAAACCTATTTAGTGTTAATTGCAAGATGTAGGAGCTACGGAAACGTTTAATTTGATTTCTCACCGATTCCAACGAGCCGCAAATAACGCGACATAATGTCTCGAAATTCTCTAAACTCTCTTCTCACCGTTTCGAGAACGATCTACCAATGTTTGTCCTAAGCGCACAAGATCCGCAGTCCGGTAACGAATCGCCTTACCTCGTGAGCTTATCGATGTCCTTGCTCTGGGACAGTGCTTCGCACATGCAAGAGATCTGCTCGGGCGTGAAGTTGCTGGTGGAGGTTCCCAGGGACAGTGCTCCGATGTTCCCGACGTTCCCGTTGCCGTTGTTGCAACTGGACAACACCTGCGGATACTGCGGGCTGCCGTTGGCCGCGGACGTCAGGTTCTGCGGATGGGAGTGATGCGCCAAAGAGAGACCCTGCATCGACGAGCTATTGTTGTACTGTTCGGCGGACGGGTTCCGATGGACGGCGCCCATCTGGCTGTTGCAGTCGCTGTTCGGCGATGACAGTTGATCCAAACTGTCAGACATTCTCTGCGGATTCCTCATGACACTCAGTCCAGACGCATCTTTCGCGGGCCGGGATCGTATCCGCGGCCCTTCCCCGAGGACCGAGGGCCGGCTGGTCCTTCCTTCGAGGTGCTTCCCCGACGACCGTCCGACGGAGGAGAGCAGCCCGCGGCCGCGGCGAACGTTCCCGACGGTGTGCGGCGGCTATCGATCCGGCCGCGGAAACGATTCGATCGCGGTTCCGAGCCGGTGCGTCGTGTCTACGACTCGGCCGGATGAACGGCTCGCGACCAAAGTAAGCATCCGCTGCTCGAACGATCGGCGCCACCCGACGGTTGCTTGATCGGCCGTGTTTCATTCATGTCCACGAGCGCGACTTTCCATTCACGAATCCTTATCGCGCCGCATGAGAACCGGCCGACGTCCCGACGCTGTCCACCGGATCGGGGAACGCTCTGTTGTGTTCTCCCTCGCCAAAAAACAGACACGATCCGTCTCACACAACAAGAAACACAGAACACACCGGCGCACACTGCAAGGTCCACGGAAATCCAAGGCTCGAGTATCCAAGATCGTTTTTCTCACAGTTTTTCTTTTCTTTTCGCAACACCGACGATTTTGATCCGGCGAAACCGGCTCGACGCGGTTCGCGCGTCCGAAAATTCCGGACGACGATAAAGGTAACGCGGTCGTGATTGCACTGCGACGCCTCTCCCGCTACCGATCGCTTGGCGCCGATGCCGATGCCGATGCAGATGCGAGAGCCGCTGCCGTTTCGTTGGTAGCGAGGTCGGCGATGGTGGCGGCGTGCTCTCTCTTCCTCTTCTCTTCGCCCTGTTTTTTTCGCGCCGCGGAGAGGAGCAGAGAGTGAGAGAGAAAGAGAGAGAGAGAGGAGCGGGAGCGATCGACGCGCCGATTGGCCGGCCGGCTGCGCGCGAGCGGCTCCCATTGGCCGGCCCCGGGGGCGGCGCAATCTTCTACCCCCGGCGAAAGCCACCCCATTCGGCGCCCCCGGGCTCCACTCCACGGTGGATCCTCACCTGCCGGCGCGACGCCACGCAACGCGACGAGTTCGATAGACGATTGTACCCCCTGCTATGCGGGATTTGTTGTCTCTCGATTATATCATCTAGGAATATCAGCGACGATCCTGGCCGATCCTGGCCGATCCTGGCCGAGGGTTTTTCGGCGAGAGAGGATACTTCGCCGCGGTCGGAGTAGCTTCTCGAAAAAGGTCTCTTTTATTCGAGGTACTCTTGACAGATTTATCGTATTTTCCTAGATTGCTTGGACAATTAACCCTTTGCACTCGAAGCCGTTTTAATTGTAAATCTAAAATAATTTCTCCGACTTGGAGCATCTCCATTTTATACGACAAGATGCATTTTATGCGTATTAAAATTGTGTATCGTGACTCGTACGACAGATATACTTTCAACAATTTTTTAAATCTAAACTTTGTTGATTTAAAAATAATCTTGGAACGTGATATAACAATTTTAGTGGTGCCTCGGAGTCACCGCTCGAAGGCAAGGAGTTAAGATTGCTCCGATTTTCTTGGGGTTTTAGGATCGTCCGCCTGTTATCGGTAGACTGCGGATTCTTTTGCAAGATAAAAATCGTCCGCGTCAATTGCAAAATATAGAAACTAAATAAAATAAATTCTCCCAAACTGACCATTTTTGTTTCCAAGTTGAACGTCGATTAGGTAGAATTTACTGCAGCAATTTCGCTCTTTCTTCGATCATTTTGACGGACTGAAAATAATATATTGACGTTTGCAAATCCTTTTAATCTTCTTACTATTTTAAACCGGCATCAATTTTGCCATAAATAAAAAACAATTTCGCCAACAAATAAATTTGCCATAAAAATTTTGTCATAGCTATACATACACGTCTATCGACAGGAAACCAGCGAAGTTTGAAAAAATCGACTTTTAAAGAAATATTTAATATTTTCTAAACTATTGGGTTAGCAACTAAGTAATTGCCGATTTGTTCAATGAAATAAAAAATTTTTTTTTACTTGGAACGAAGTTTAATCTGTAATGTATTATCCATTTTGTTCGATGACCTTTTGCCATCTCTCCGACAACTTGAAAATTCCACGCACGTAGAAAGTCTGATCCTTTTCGGCCAAAAACTGAGTTAAGTGAGATTTTACAGCGTCATCATCGTTAAAAGTTTTACCACGAAGGGAGTTGTCCAGGGATCGAAATAAGTGGTAATCCGATGGCGCGAGATCGGGGCTATATGGTGGGTGTAACATCAATTCCCAACCAATATCCATCAATTTTTGCCGAGTGGACAAAGACGTGGGCGGCCTAGCATTGTCCTGGTGGAAAATGACACCTTTACGATTGACCAATTCTGGTCGCTTTTCCTTGACCGCTGCATTCAATTTGTCCAGTTGCTAACATTCGCGGATAATAAAAAATAACATAATAATAATAATAACAATAATAATTTTATAATATAACATTTACGGATATCATAAAAATGGGAGT